AAAAAAAAAAAAAAAAAAAAAAAAAAGGTTATATGGGGTACATTTGTAATTGCCATTAATGGAAGAAGACCCAACAACTCCTTAATTCAGTTGTACTACTCCTCATTCATCATTACAAATCCTGAAATTTCATTTTCTCCAACCGCTTTGATTACCCAAAGAAGAAAAGAACATTAACCAACGACTGAAAAATACTTGATATTATAGATAAGATAAACCCTAAATAGAGACTCCCACACACTGATCCCTCATCATGAAAGGAGAAAACGGAATGACGAAAAAGAATTCATTCTTCATCATTAATGGATCAATGGCAGTCAGGTGTAGTTTCCATTCCCTTATAGCACTGCTTGTGGCTGCCTTAATTGTGGGAGCCATTTATTTGACTGCAGAGAGTGGGCAGTTGATAGAAGAAGATGATGCAGTAGTTCATCAAACGACTGGGAATGATTCTTCATCTTCTGGTTGTGATTTGTTTTCAGGAAAATGGGTTTTTGATAACCAGACTTATCCTCTTTACAAAGAGGAAGAGTGTACATTCATGTCGGATCAATTGGCTTGTGGCAAGTTTGGGAGAGATGACTTGAGTTATCAGTATTGGAGATGGCAACCTCACCACTGTGATCTACCAAGGTCTCTCTCTCTCTTTCTCTCATTCACAAAGTTTGCAGTGCAATACTCATCTAAAAGTTTAAACGTTTAGAAAGACAGAGAACTTTATTTCTACGATCTTGTAAAAAATTTACTTATGAAATACTCATCGAAAAATTTAAATATTTAAAAAGAGGATAACTTTATTTCTATGATCTCGTAAAATATATACTTCGTCTAAAAACTTTGTTTATTTAGATTATATTTTCGTCAAAGATTAAAAGTCGGTGGAATGTTTTTTTCTTATCTTAATTAAGGTTCAATGCCACAGCACTATTGGAGAGATTGAGGAATAAAAGGCTAATTTTTGTGGGGGATTCTCTAAATAGAGGGCAGTGGGTGTCGATGGTATGTCTACTTGAGAAGGCCATTCCAAAAGGGCTTAAATCTATGCACAACAATGGCAGCTCCTTGATCACCTTCAAGGCGAAGGTCAGTCCATATCTACTGTTAATAAACTAATTATTATAATTTTGTGTTAGCATTTTCTAGATGCCATCGAGATCGTTCAACTAGGGTCGAGTGGGACAAAATTCAAATACATGGTACCTCTCATTCAACTTAGCTCGAGTTGAGGAATTTCATGTTGGTTGAGTAAGAATTTTTACATAAAAATATCTTGACTCAAGTCGATCAATATTTATTAGGTCAAGCTTCTTATTCAACTTGTCTTCGATCGGGTGGTGGGGATTACGGGTTTGGTCCCATAGCGATGTGTATATGATACAAGATTGTGTATGTTGTTACGTACTATGTGCTTCAATGTACACAAATCTTCTATTACGCAAACACAAAACTTCCAGAGACGTTTGAAATAATTAATTTATTGTCTTAAAAGTGTCATTGAATTTGTGTAAAGACACATTAATAATGATAAGAACAAAACAGTTTTACTTATCATTATTCTCCCTCTTTACTGTCACTTGCATAAATTTTCTTTTGTCGAACGTAATGAAGGCATACAACGCAAAAATTGAGTTTTATTGGGCGCCATTGCTGGTGGAATCCAATTCCGATGATCCGATCAGCCATCGGTTACCGGATCGGATTGTGAGAGCTCAAGCCATTGAAAAGCATGCCAGGCATTGGACAGATGCTGATATACTTGTCTTTAACACTTACCTTTGGTGGAGACGCCCTAAAATGGAAGTCTTGTAAGTACTAAACAAAAAATTCATACTAAAACTAGTTCGACTATACATATGAGATTCGATCCGATCATTAATCAGGTCAAAGACAATAGAATCATGGGTTCGTTTTTTGAATCAAAGGTCACCAGTTCGACTAGTAAGCCGTTGCAGTGACCGAAGTGCCTTGTGCTTTGACTAGGTCAATGATTAGAGTGAATCCAATGAATATTTATTGAGGAAGTAAAGTTTCTATTATTTTTCTCAGGTGGGGTTCATTCAACAAATCGGATGGAATATACAAAGAAATAGATATGTTACGTAGCTATGAAATGGCTCTAAAGACATGGTCTGACTGGTTGGAAATCCATGTTAATAGGACTAAAACTCAATTATTTTTCATGAGCATGTCACCTACTCATGAAAGGTACAATACAATAAACTAATTCTTATTTCCAACAAATTCGAGGTAAGTTTCCTCGAATACCATCAATAATAGCGTTCATTTTTGTTTTAATGAAATGGCAGGGCAGAAGAATGGGGCAAATCTAAAGGAGGAAATTGTTATACTGAAACAGAAGCAATATTCAAAGAGGGATACAGGGGAAGTGGAACAGATCCCAAGATGATGCAAATAGTTGAAATTACAATTAATGAACTTCAAAAAAGAGGCTTAAAGGTACAAATAATGAACATAACACAGCTCTCGGATTACAGAAAAGATGGACACCCTTCAATTTACGGGAAACAATGGAAACCTTTGACTGAAGAACAAATATCTAATCCCCTTAGTTATGCAGATTGTATACACTGGTGTCTCCCTGGAGTTCCTGATGTTTGGAATCATCTTCTGTATGCTTATATTTTTAACTATGGACCAACTTGACTTGATGATCATATGTTGTTTCAACTATAAAATGTAAAGTTTGTCGCACATATTTCCCTGCATATGGTATGTTTGTTATGTACTACATGTTATCTAGTATCCAAGATATGCCAAAGGTAGTTTGTGATCATAACGGTAGCTAGTTGGATAGACAAGTTCTCCAAAGAAACAGAAGGGAAGGGGAAAAAATTGTATCGACTACGAACATAACAGGATGGACATTCAAATTTATATGTAATAATAAAAAAAATTAAACTTGATGCTACCAAAAATCGTACATGTCGACTTCCGAGCTTGACGACTGAGAATGAGCACGAACGAAGTCTTCCGTTGCCTGAAACGAAGGCGTCGAGGTGTGTCATCGTCGCCCCTCCGATACTTAAGTCAGAGAGTGTATGAAAATAAAATATGCTGTAATATGTAAAAAGGTGTACCTTGATATTGAATGAGAATGGCATATTTATAGAGGTGGGTGGTGGACTCCTAGTAGGACTGCGATGCTGAGACACTTAGGAGTTCTAGTGTAGTTGGAAGTTGTAATGTAGTAGGTTTCGCACTGCCCACGTGTTTGGATGGACATGTGACTCTGGAGTTAGATTCCACTTACAATTAGGTAATACACTTCCATAAGGACTTTGCTTTCAGGGATGTCTTAACACGGAGTGAGCGTCTAGCGAGTTAGGGGTCGCAGGATTTGAGGTATATGTAGAGAGCTCAAGAAGGTCACCCGATCAGTCTTCCTCGAGCACGAGGAACATAGCCCGAGGAGATGGCGAGATTTCGGCAGTGCTGAGCCATGTACTCCTCGGGAAGTGTGCTCGATTGTAGTCCTCGAGGAACGGTATCATCAAAACTGAACAATAAAAAATTAAAAATTAAATTTATCCTGCATCTGTGAATCTTTAAGTTCCGAAAGACAAGAAAAACAAATATTTTATTGGATGATCTGAAAACCATATTCTCTAACTACTAAATACATTATTAGATTACTCTAAAAAATAATTAAGAATAGTTTGACTTCATCCAATTATTGAACCAAACGTAACTGCTCAAGAATTTGGTATGCAAATTCACCTAATCTCCGTTCATAAAAAAATCAGGGAATACATGTACAGATGAACAAAGAGGGACTCACATGGCTAATGCAAATCGCATTGTTGGAGTAAAATTCAACTACCGTTGCCTTGTGGCTCTTCCCATAGTGCTTTTGCTCATTGCTAGCACATACATGAAAGCCACGGAAAATAAGCAGTGGATGGTAGAAGTTAAGCTCAGGCTATGAAGAATAACTCGTCATCAGAATGTAAGATGGGTATTCGATAACCAGTCTTACCCTCTTTACAAAAAGCGAAAATGTTTGTGTTTGGCAGACAAGTTTGCTTGCGAGAAGTATGGCAGGAAGGACTTGAACTATCAGAACTGGAGGTGGCAGCCTCACCAATGTGACCTCCCAAGGTATGCACTCTGATATGAAATTGTCATGGTCTTTTTGCTTGTATATGAATTCGAACTTTGAAATATCAGAATCTATTCGTGTAGCGAAGTCCAATGCTACAAGTCTGTTAAATAGGCTAAGGGGTAAGAGGCTTGTGTTCGTTGGCGATTCATTGAACAGAAATGAATGGGATTCACTGGTCTGCTTGGTGGAATCATCAATTCCTTCACCATCTAAATCCAGACAGATCATTGGCAATTTGTTCACCTTCAAGGCCGTTGTGAGTTCCAACTGCATCACATTTGGTAGAAATTGTGCTTATCTTTGCTCTTTCATCATTGTGGGACTTTGAGTTTTATCACAAAAAGTTAGTCTATTGGTGATTAACCCAAATCCTTTATGAACCGAAATATTCTCATGTCTAGCTGATGTGGAACTTATATTGGCACATCTCCAATGGTGTTATAACTACACGAAATTGCTTGAATTGCAGGAATCCAATGTCTCTATTGATTTCTATTGGTCCCCATTGCTAGTCAAATCGAACTCTGATGATCCAGTGAACCACAGTTTACCAGACAGAATTGTTAAGAGTTCAAGCAATAGAGAAGCATGCCAGGCATTGGACTGATGCAGATATAATCATCTTCAACACGTATCTTTGGTGGGTAAGCCCTAAAATGAAGGTTCTGTAATTGAATTCGTCGAAATCTTAATCTTCAAGCAATTCACGAAACTAGAAACTTTTGCTCCAAAATTCGTGATAGCATTAATTGACAGCTTATTCTGTAACATTTATCAGGAGGGGAATATTTGAAAGCCCAGATGGCATCTACAAGGAAATAGATATGCTAAGCAGTTATGAAATGGCCCTAAAGACATTATCAGATTGGCTGGAAATCAATGTTAACAGAACCAGGACAAAGCTATAATTCATTAACATGTCCCCAGCTCACCTAAGGTAGGATAGATTTTTATACATTTAAGCCACCCCCATCCCGCACATAAGCATACGATTTTAGTGATTCTAATTGCACATTGCACGGGAACTTAGACACCTCTCGTCATATACCATTTAAGAGTAAGTTATCTGGTAGTGACAATTGTTGGAATTAATTGATTTATTTGGATCATTAAATATATTGTTTAATGATATTTATTTGGGTCATTAAATATGTTATGTAATGATGTGGGCCGTTGTAATTAATTTGGGTGAATTGGAAAAGTCTCCAATATAGGCACATATGTTATAAGCCATTTTAAGTGTCTTATATATGGTAAGGAATCCTACATCGAAAATTTACAAGAAAATAGACTTGTTTATATAGTGGGATGTGTATATAAGTTATAATTTAATAAGTGACCTACAACTTGGCTAACTATTAGCTAGCCAAAGGCTAGCTAACTAGTCACCTCACGCCACGCCACGCCACGCCTCGGTCCCGGTCCCGGTCCGGGCACGCGCACGTCGCAAAGTACGCATTGGGCGCTTTAGAGGCGCACTTTGCACTTGTTAAGTCCTTATACGCATTGGGCGCTTTAGAGGTTTCATAGTAAAAGGACAAAAGAACAAAGTATGCAAACTTGTTAAGTCTTTATACGGGTTGAAGCAAGCTCCTAAACAATGGCACGAAAAGTTTGACAGTACCATGATTAGGAATGGATTCATAATAAATGCATGTGACAAATGCGTATATTCGAAAAGATTCGAAAAGGCATACGTACTTGTCTGTTTATATGTTGATGACATGCTTATATTAGGGACTAATATAGAAGTCATCAATAGAACGAAGAATATGCTTACCAATAACTTTGACATGAAAGATATGGGTGAAGCAGACGTGATTCTAGGAATGAAGATATCTAGAACATCAAATGGAATATTCTTGTCTCAAACCCATTATGTTGACAAAATAATTGAGAGGTTTAAGACTCATAATATTAAAGAAACGAGTAACCCATTTCTTCCTCATGTAATTCTTCACAAGAATAGTGGAAATGGGAAACAACAGTTAGAATATTCTCAAATTATTGGTAGTGTAATGTACTTAATGAATTGTACAAGACCTGATATAGCTTACTCGGTAAGTAAGCTCAGTCGTTACACAAGTAACCCAAGTAATCAACATTGGGATGCATTACTTAGAGTTTTGGGATACTTGAAATGGACCAGAGAGTATTCATTATGTTATAAAAAATATCCTCCAGTAATTGAAGGATATAGTGATGCCAATTGGATATCAGATACAGACGAGTCTAAGTCTACCAGTGGCTATGTATTTACTCTTGGTGGTGGCGCCATATCGTGGAAATCTTCTAAGCAAACGTGTATAGCTCGATCTACTATGGAATCTGAGTTTATTGCTTTAGATAAAGCAGGAGAAGAAGCAGAATGGTTAAGACATTTCGTAGAAGATATTCCTATATGGCCAAAGCCTGTACCGGCTATTTGTATTCATTGCGATAACCAGGCAACAATAGCCAGGGCCGAAAATTTTGTGTATAACGGTAAGTCAAGACACATCCGTCGTAGACATAATACCGTTCGTCAGTTGCTCTCAAATGGAACAATATCAATTGATTTTGTTAAGTCAAAAGAAAACCTAGCGGATCCGTTTACTAAAGGGTTATCTAGAGAGCGTATAGACTGCGCATCGAGGGAAATGGGTTTAAAGCCTAAAACCCAATGAGTCATCTTAGTGGAAACCTAACCTAGCAATTGGAGATCCCATGGACTAGGTTCAATAGGAAAACTAATTATGAATGACTCAATAAGAAGCACTTAGGAGTTTAACTCCTTCCCATTTCTATGATGCAAAAAGTGCTGCATATGAAGTTTATGAAGGATAAGCTTTTGCTTTTAATGATGACTATAAATAGTACAAGTAATTTTTTATAGAACATCACCTATGTAAGTGCGAATTTGGTCGGTTCTTTGAGAATTTACTTAGGCGAATTCTCTAAAGCACTCGCAGAACCCAAGTAGTTCAGGGCCGAAATAATGAACACAATAGAGAACCAAGTTTGATATGAAAGATAATGTGTTTGGTCTATTGTCTGAGCTTGCAATAACGGCTGATAGTTCAAAACGTTGCGTTCACTGATTAGCCAAGTGAGTTCGATAGATTCTTACTAAAGAAGGTTCAAAGCGAAAGCTACCTATCTTGATGCGTTATCTTTCAAATAGTACTCTTCTTTTATCTTCCTTGATTTGAGTCGACTTCTTCCATTCATGTGGGGGATTGTTGGAATTAATTGATTTATTTGGATCATTAAATATGTTATTTAATGATGTTTATTTGGGTCATTAAATATGTTATTTAATGATGTGGGCCGTTGTAATTAATTTGGGTGAATTGGAAAAGTCTCCAATATAGGCCCATATGTTATAAGCCCATTTAAGTGTCTTATATATGGTAAGGAATCCCACATCGAAAGTTTACAAGAAAATAGACTTGTTTATATAGTGGGATATGTGTATAAGTTATAATTTAATAAGTGACCTACAACTTGACTAACTATTAGCTAGCCAAAGGCTAGCTAACTAGTCACCACGAGAGTGGTGCTTCGCACCACTCACGCCACGCCACGCCACGCCCCGGTCCCGGTCCCGGTCCCGGTCCGGGCCCGCGCACGTCGCATTGTACGCATTGGGCGCTTTAGAGGCGCACTTTGCACTTCGCACGTACGCATCGTCGCGAGGAGCTGAGGAGCCTTATAGTTTTCAGAAATGGAATCATGGTTCGATGACATGGCGATGAGAGGCTCGATGAGTTGGCATCCTAGGTGGCACACACGTAACAGGTCACGTCACTTCGTCCTGCATGGCGGTTGGTCCTGTTGGACGTACGCGTGGCAACTGCATGGCTGGTGACTGTTCAGAATTGGTGAATAGGCATGATGAATGGACACTACATTTCGTGGTTTAATCTGGTCCGTCAGATTATGAAAGAGTGCGATCCAATGGCTAAAACAGATCAGATCAAGTGGTGCACCAATTCATGAAATGTTACACACCCTTTCAAGGAGACACTTCAATCTCTATAAATAGAGACCTCCAAATTCGTTTTTTGGACACCAAAATCAATTAATATATTCTTGATTTCTAAATTCTTCTCGCTCCATATTCTGCTAAAATTCCTTCGATATTTTCGTGATTATTTCGTTCGAGTACGATCATTATTTGGTTCGACCGTCAAGGTAGGTATTGTGCAATATCGACTTTGGGAAAAGCGTTGTATCTTGGGAGACAGACGTCCATAATCCTGTTTGCACGTTGTTGGGGGGCGAAATCTGTCTTAAGGAGATTTGCTTTGGCATACCTCGCTTCATCTTCTTCTTTTTTCCGTTTTTCCTGCTCTTTTATTTGTTCTTTCGATTGGGATAGTCGAATTTCCGACAACAACAATTTGGATGAGAGCATGCACCTTTTTGGAGATGATCTCCTTGGAAAGACGACCTATGTAGGGCCACTAGCAGTATTCACCAAGTTAGAATATAAAGGTGGTTGCGAATGTTACGTCTAAAGCGAGAGGTCTAAAGCGAGAGGTAGAATTTAATGATTGTCATTGCGTATGTTGAGGGATAAAATTTCACGTAGAATAAAGATAAAAATATAGACCAATTTATAAAGAATTGGATTACTCCTCTTAACAAGATTAACCTTTTAGGATAAAACCTAAAATCTTAACAAAGTATCGGGGCATATTAAATTCAAACGAGCAATTTGATCCAATTAAGACTAAAAAATGAGTACACGAATTTCAAAATTTGTTTGCTCAAATATGCCACCATCTTGTGGGAACGTATTAAGGGATAAAATCTCATATCAAATAAAGATGAAAACATATACCAATTTATGAGGAATTTGATTACTCATCTTAACAATGTTGACTTTTTAAGATGAAATTCCTAATTTTAACAGCGTTTATGTTAATTGGCTTGTAGGTTATAGTCAATCGAGTGACTTCGCTTTACAACCCGTTTTAAGGGTCCAACCCAATATAATGATCAGACGCTTCAAAAACTTGAATACCATTTCTACATTACAGACCCTAAATCACGAGAAATTCTTCATAATTTTCGTTTTGAATACCAATCTTTGCTGATGCCAATGCTTCAAATATCGCATGCCATGTAATATTTAATATTTGCAGGGATGATGAATGGGGCACAAGCGCAAATCAAAATTGCTATAAATAAACAGAACCAATTTTCCGAAAGGCTACTTAGGTTAAACAAATCAGAAGATGATGAGAACAGTAGAGAGTGCTTTTGAGGAATTCAAATCAAGAGCTGTGGAGGTACAAATACTCAACATAACACAGCTTTCAGATCTACAGAAAACAAAGGGTGGCTAGAAGAGAAGATCAACTGTTGAATCCAAGAAGTTATGCAGATTGTGCACATTGGTGCCTTCCAGGAGTGCCTGATGCTTGGAATGAAATTTTGTGCGCTTATATTATTCAGTACAACATCGAAACTAGCATTTAAGTGTCCCCTGTTTTAAAGGTTTAAACTTTTAGAAGGAGCAATTTAATTTAGTATGAGAGCGAGCAAAGGTCTTGAATTCGAGTGATGAAGCTACCTATCTAAAAATATTTTGTGTGCATCAAGTCTTTGATTAAAAATGAATGCAGAACCATACAAGAGATTTTCACCTCATATGGCCCGAAGAGTAACTAGGATCATTTCACGTTTTCATGTTCCAATTTAACACTTTTGATTGTTTTCAAAGGAGCACTTGAGGAGGCCTGGGTGAAAATAACAGTTTTAAGGCTAAAAATGAAGTAGAAAATCGATTACAATACTGTCTACCCCTGTCTACCCAGCACATTGCACCAAACATTCACTATAGGCATTTCAAGAAAATGAACTGGGATCACTCCAATATTAAGTTTTCAGTACATAATCATTCACTGGCAATGTGGTTAGGGTAAGGGTAATATCATGCTCTTCTTCAAGTGGTAAAATGGTTCTTGACTGAAGATCTCCAAGTTTCGACACAGTATGATCATCAATGCATTTACAATATTCTTGATCTTCGTCCATCGAAACTTGACCACAATCTATGTTGATCAAGTTTGGCATTCCCATTGCATGATGCTATCAATATTAAAACAAGAAAATTAAATTAGAATGTCTAACATTAGGACATGGATAACTTGTCCTAATGAAAATTATAGGTAAACCCTGCCAATGGTAGAGTCAATCTCAAATTTATCGAGACTTAATGCAAACAGTTCAAAGAAAATGATAAATTGAAGAAGCCAACCTTCCTATAAATTGTTCCATCCTCCTCAACTTGCCATCCAGCCTCTTTACAAAGAGCCTTGAGAAGATCATTGGTATCTGCATGCTTTGGAAGGTTGTAGTTCCCATGAGCCCTAAGCCCTGCAAAGATTTTTTGGGCCACGGACCGCCGTCGTCTCTCCCTTTGTTTATTGTTCTGCCGCTCCCGCTCTGATGGATACCGATACTTAGTCACTACGTCACCGTCTTTGGTGGCTCTACGAACCAGCCATGGCCCTTTGCTGCTCTTTATACATCCCCTAATCTCCCTACTTCTCTCTTCTGCAATTACTTCTCCTCCCTTCATGCTCACCTCTACCTGGCCTTATTGCCTTTTTTTCTCCTTCCCATATTATCAATATATATACTTGTGTTATGTGTATGTAATATACATTCACGAAGACAATATGAAGACAAAACTAGACAGAGGACAAGAAGGGACGTCGTACTGTTGATTCTATTCCCCCAGCTTTTGTTTGGTGTGTGGGGGCGTGTTGTCGACACTCTACAGTTCTTTTTTCCTTAGTCTACAGTGTTCTCTAATTTGTTGCCATGCGGATTAAGGTTAGAAACAATTGTGAAATCGGGTTTTTAGGCAAAATTGAAAGAACACAAGTAGTATTATAAGTGGTTTGGTCCACATGCAAAAAGAAGACAAAAAGAAAATACAAAGGAGTATTATGCACCGAGTCCCAAAAAATTCTCCACGATACTCTCAATACCTACGAAAGGAGGCTTTTAATTCCCGCTAGATGTAGGATTCATGTCAATCCAGAAAGTTAAATCCTATTCAGATTTCAGAGTGAGATATGTGTTGTTCATGTTTATAAATTGTTAATAAATACTCTAGTCCTTTTTTATTCACACATTTTCAGCAATAGCTCATTTTCTATTTATTTATTAGCGTTCTCAAAAACGTGAAGTGTAGTTAGATGTGGACGCCAAGTTTCAAGTTTTATTAGCCCAAGCAAGGCCTAAGCGTAAAAAAGGTATTTTCTTATTTTTTTAATATTATTTTAAATTTTTCATCATTCTAAAAATTATTTAATAATTAAGCATAACAAACATCTAAAATTATAAAATACTATATTTACTTAATAATTCTTACAATTAGTCAATTATACAATTTTCAAAGAAAAAACTTGGAACAAAATCAAATAAAAGGCTTTTAACAAAATAAATTAAATTAATAATGAGAGCCTAGGTGCGCAATAAGTGGTCAACTTAGCAGTTGACCATTTAATTTCATACTTAGTGTCGAGACAAGACGTTTCGCTAGCACTTGGGTTCACTTTTTAAAACACTGTTATTTATAATCCCAATTATTTATAAACACTTATCAAACATGCTGGCGTGAAACAATATGAAGTCACCAAACATTTAACACAAGCCTAATTTATCGTAGTGTATTCACTTAATTTTACACTTCACACAGATGTATGAATTGCGAGAACATGTTAGAAAGTGTTTATAAATAATTTTAATCATAAATAGATAAAAATAAGTAATGTGTAAGTGGATGGTATTTGACTATTTGTAATTCTTTTAAAATATATGGATAAATAGTAATTTCAAGGTTTATAAACATTAGCCAAACACATGCAAATCCGCAAAGGCTACCTGAATAATGAATTTTACTGCAAAGCTTTAACAGGTTTTGGTGTTAAAATAAGTGATGGGATAATATCAATTGATATGGTCATGACAAATATTTCTATTCTTGGAAAATATATTATTCCCAAAAAAAAAGCCTATTTTTGGGCCGGTGATAATATTCCACGCAGAGAAAAAAATTTTACTTTTAAGAAGTGCAGACATATATATGGTACATTGTGAGTTCACATATATAGGAGAGTACACAAGCTTGTCCCCTAAGGACACTTGTAATAAACTTAGAATCAGCGGCGGAGCCAGTCTTCCAAATTATGGGGGTTCCGGAGTTGAAGGGGCGGGGGCTCATGGGGTTCGGGGGCAGTGCCCCCAAAAATTTTTTTTAAAACATTATCTGTTAAAATGAGGAAAGTTGGTGTGATGGAGAAATGAAACAAATAAACATAAATTAATGTACGAAAATTTCACAAAAAAATCAAGAAACATATAAAAGAAACTACTAATATTTTGAAATATTTCTCCATCACTGAGCCTGAGGATTAAGGAAACTCTTTCACTCATAATTGATAAACAATACAACTTAGGAGATAAAAAAAAAAATTTTGAGGCCAAAAAATTTTTAAAAAAAATAAAAAAAATTTTTTTTTCAAAAAATGGGGGGGGGGGGGGCCCCCCCCCCCCCTCCCCTACTTAGAATAATGTTTCTTGGCTAGGGTCAATGATAAGGAATGAAGTAGCGAGTATTGTGGCAGGGTGGGATTGGTGTTGTTTTTTTCTTTTTTCAAATTGTCCAATTATGTATTGACACAGTCTCTTCTGTCATTGACTTTGTCCCCGTATCTTAAAGAAGAAAGACCATAAAATATTTGGATAATATTTTTTGTACAATGATTTTTGACAACAATATTGTTGACAATATTATAGGTGGCAAAAAAGTCTTGATTGAAAAGATAAATTGTTTTTTAAATTGTCATATGCATGTTGTCAACAATATTATCAAAAAAATTATACACCAAACATGATTGAAAATATTTAAACATTGTCTTGTGCCACGTAGCTCACATTCACATCTCCTTTTCAAGGATAACTTTTTATATTTACTAATATGATCGTTCTATTTAATTTTTAAAAAATGGTTCGTCAAACACTGAAAAATTAAAACCAAGAAAAGTTTGGAATGGTTTTAATTTATTTTAGCTTTAATTTGAATTTTTTTTTTGTTTTATTAGTGTTCTCTCACCTTTTTAAGGTCTTGTACAACGTGGAATCTAAATGGGTGAACAACCAGTAGTCAGAAGCAAATGTAAGAGGGTCTGAGTCAGATACTGAATTGTCAGATAACACGTTAATAGCTCTAAAGTATCACGAGTTGACAAATCAAAGCAAGGATAGCAAGTGATCGGGTAACTTTGGTAATTGAGTCATGTTTCGGTAATTTGGCCATAACTTTAGCTACGATTATCAGAATCGCGATTATGACCACAATCTGAAAAGCTTGTTTCGGCGCGCACGTCGTGGACACCAGCTTTGCTCGGTGTATACCGTTTTCAACCTCAAATTCCGCTGTTTTCCCTTTCGAATTGTTATTTTTAGTTAAATTTTGTTATTTTTGGTAATATTTCGATTACATGTTAGGAGATAATTTTTAACCCGATTTGAGCTAGATTTTTCGCATACTACTTATTTTATTCCGTATTTTCGTTTGACGTGATTTTTGAAATTTTGTCATTTTTGGTAAAATTCAAATTTTTGCTATAAAGTCCGACTTGTTGACTTATTTTGATCAGTGCGTGATATAATAAAATTCTTTAAACTTCATGGACGTTTTCTCTGTGTTTTCGGCGTTAATTTTTTGTTCTTCCCTATGAATTTGTTGGTAAAACTAACGTGCCCGGCGTCAGAAGCATCGCCCGCTTGCATTCAAAATTGAGACCTGAAAACCAAAATGAGTATCAGTGAATGTTTAACAAAATTTAAAGTTATATATTAGCTAGTTGTTGATTTTATTATGCAAGAGAATGGTTCATTAACAAGTAATATGATGATGAACAACTATCGTCCCACGATTGATTATTGACTTTACTTTAACTACAATTAACTCTAACAAGAACACGTGCAATTAATTTGAATGATTGTAAAGTTGATTTTCTAATTAATAACTAAACTACCTAAGTTGAGCACGCATGGAATCTTTTAGAGAAAAACTAAATAATGTAAAGCACTAGAACTACGAATTCGCGGTTGTGACATATTATTCAATTATTAATCAACCATTTACTCATATTTGAACTTAATTATCTCTAATTAAATTGTGAACATATAAGCATGCATCAGCTCGTATAGTATAAAATCCTATACGTTCTTTAACACACTAAATTTTAACAAATCTCTATAAATCACAAATACGTTCTAACAGTGATTAAGTATTAAAATGAAATAAAGGAATAATAAATAATCAACTCGAAAAATAAGAATTAAAAATAAATAAAAACACAAAGTTTCATTGTTAATTCTAACGACAAAAGGTTTAGCTGGACACGGTAAAATTAAACAATCTTCAATTTAGCCATCTTCGGTCGTATCGCTTCTAATTTCATCTGGATTGATCCTTCATATTCCTAACTCATTCACTTTGGTCCTTCAACTTTTATTTTCTCAAATTTGATGTTTCAAAGTCTTGCGAATGTATGAGTTGGACCACAGACTCTTAAAATGTGAAAATTAGTCCCCAAAACTTGTGAATTCTTCCAATCAAGTTTCATCCCTTTAACTTCGATTACTCTTCAAATCTCTTCCTTTTTATGCTCAATACACCTACAAGTCGTAATTTTCAACTATAAAAGCAATATATACACTAATTTAAGTAGAAATCTGTTCAAATAATCAATATCAAGGAATTTGAAAAATCTACGTTTTTCAAGATTCATAATTTTTTCTTACTTTTTAATTATTAGTTTCTCTATTTGTACCGAATATGGATGACAACGAGTTTGACAACCTCTCACATACGTGCGGGCCCCACATGAATAAAAAATTCCAAAAAATGTGGGTCATCCCTCTATTGTGAGTGTTCGATCAAAGTGTTTGTCAACTATTTTCGATAAGTGTAGCATTGCTCTGAAGATAATTGCTAACGTTTGAGTGATGTATCTAATAGGAATGGACAAAAATTTGAAAATCTTTCTTACTTGGTGCTTGTTTAATAAAACTTCGTAAAATTTTTATCTGTTCATCTAGTCAAATTTTAATTTTAACTACACATTTTATAAGAAATCGAAGGAATATATTGTGATTTTTTTTTAATGAAATCCCCAACAAAAATAGACACCATCACTATTTTTTTTCTATCCAAATAGATCATAACGATTACCGACACTTCAGAAAATTGTGAAATTTTACCAACTTTTATCAAAATCTGTTCAAATTTTTTTTTTTTTATCAAAAACTTTATCAAATAACTCCTTCATCACATTTTATTTTATCTCATCCATCATACTACGTCATGAAATTTGAAAAGAAAACCACATGCAACTTGACATTCAATAATATGTACTATCACTATGGCTAGCCTTTGAGCCTGTTTGCTTATTTGGTAGATGTTAACATACAAAAAGTGTAGCCCAAATCAAGGGATGAAAGTCAGTTCAGAAGTCCAGGATGAAAGCCCTAATATGATCATTAATGAATGCAGTGGAGGCCCAGGAACAAGGTACCATCATTGCCCAACCTTGCAAGACGTCCAAGATTTGAACAAGTAGAGTGCCTTAAATCGCCCAGAGCGAATGAGCCTATTTTCGCCCAAACCTTCGAATCGCCCAGTATATTAGCAAACATAAGATATTATAGTTATCCAGAGCAACAGCCATTGAAGCGGTTAGTGAACAACCTTATCACACCACCACGATCCAAGAATCACAGCTGTAAGCGGTTGAACGACGAGAGTAATGGCAACAATTAGAGACAGCAGTTCCATGACAAGTTAGTTATCATAAAGAAAGTGGGTAGTTATAGAGCAATCAAGTAATTTCTAAGCGGTTTGTCGTGAATGAATTATCAAGGAAGTATAAAAAAGAAGAGAAGATATAGAGAAAAGGACCCCGAATCAAATATTCTCAATAGAGAATATGTAATTTCAATTTCTCAGTTTAACTTTAAACACTTCATTCAGTACTCGTGTGCTTGCATCCATTGGAAACATTCTATTTATTTCCAATTGTAAATCATCGCCAATAAAACATCCCTTTTGAAGACTTTGTCTCAAAAGGTCCATTCCTTACACAATCGTCTAAACATTTTTTAATTGTTAGCGAGACCCGCACAAAACCGTAGAATATAAAGAATTTAGAAACAACTGACAAAAAGTAGCACTAAATATTAGTTGGAAGTGGTATTTTCCCTTCAATACTTTCAGCTTTTAGCATAACATTTTTAAACCTAATTTGTATAGTTATAGTTATAGCATCACTTTTTATGAGTGCATTTTTTTTTTTTTTTTCATGTTTGGTTGCGTACTTGCAAAATATTTGTAGATATTTCATTTATTCAACTCTGCATTTCTAACCGCTAATATATTTTTTGACAAATGGATATTTTTCCCGGGTTTATTGTCAATCACAAAATCCAACTTCCTAAGATTTTCCGTTATTGTTCCTCCAGAGATTCAGCCATGGTGATGGCGGGTGGCTTTATTCACCACCACCAGTACAATCATCTTCTCTCCATCCAGTCTCCTAATTATAATATCTACTGCTATAATCATAGTTATTGTTTCCCTAATTCCACTGTTCCACCTTTCAAATCTTTTACTACTGCCAAAATCATCAATAGTAATTCAGCGAAATTCCGAACAATTCCCAAATCTTCGTCCAAGAAAAACCCCAGTACTATACCTCATTCTCCTCCTGAAAAACCTATATCACTGGGTGCAGATAATGGGGTCAAAACTCGGGACCTGGATAACGACTCGGGTACTACTGTATTATTGCATCGTCTCAGGTACTTTATTTCACGATATCTGAAGCTGTTTATATATATAGGGTGAATTTGATTTGTAGTATTGGGGTTTTGCAGGAAAGAATTTAAATTGGATGGACTGGGAATGGAGATTCTGTCAATTGCATTACCGGCTGCATTGGCTCTAGCAGCCGACCCCATCACTTCACTTGTTTCTACAGGATTTGTTGGCCATTTGGGTATTTCATTTTGTTGTTTAATATTTAGTGGTGTCATTTTGTTCAGAATTTAATATAGGCATGCGGAAGGATTTTAAGTTATAATGTGTTTCTGTGGTTAAATTTGAAAATCAGTGAGTTTGTAGAATACTTTCTTGCTTTTGGTTTAGTAAATAGGATACGGAAGAATTTGAGAGAATATATAGAAATATTTGACCTTGGATTAGGATTATAAAATTAAAAGGTCCTGAATGTGGATTTCAGCTAGAGTTACCTCCTTTACTTCCCCACCTCGCTCATCCCATTTAGTTCTCTCACTTTGATTTTCACATTTCTTTATATCAATCCCTCGATCTCGATCGAGCTTTTTGCACACTTCAAGACTAACTTTATCTCATTAGTTTGTGGTGTGAACTACGCACATTCATAATTTTGATTAAGCTATGGCTCAAGCTAGCTTTGTATCAGTAGTTTCTAGTTTGCAATATCTTGAGTTTATTTCGTGTCATATTATGCAGGATCTGCTGAACTGGCCGCAGTTGGTGTATCAGCGTCAGTGTTCAACCTAGTGTCAAAATTGTTCAATGTACCTTTACTCAATATTACAACATCCTTTGTTGCTGAAGAGCAAGCCTTGGTTACCAAGGATGCTGATGAATGTGATCAAACTGCTCAAGGTACTTTTTTACTAGCATCTGCAACTTCAACTTTTTGGTCCTCTCGCATCATTTAATGTGGTTATTTCATGGCTTTTTGACAAGATAACCAGGCAGGTCACCAAAGCAACATACTTCTTCCTTCAGTATCAACTTCTCTGGCACTTGCTGCTGGTCTTGGCATCATTGAAGCTGTCGCACTTTCCACCGGCTCCAGCTTTTTAATGAATATGATGGGTATACACGTTGTATGTCTTGTTTAGCTAATCAGATATTTATTTTTGACAGATTAATTTGTTTCCTACTGATTAGAAGATTGTTATTTTGTTGCTAAAATTTTGAATAGGCTTTGCAAGAGAAATATGTGAATTCAAGTATTTTTACCTTGAGATAGTTTTTCAGTAACAGGATTGGAAAAAAATAACTAGAAGCATTGCATGTAGACTCGCTGAAAACTATATGGTCGCCTTTGGCCTTCCCTTTACAACCATCTGTCCTGAGAAAGATCAATACTTGTAAAAAAAAAAAATCACGGCATGGACTTTTATGTATAGTTCCTGATGTACGAGAAGCCTATCCAGATTTTTATTTTTATGCTTCCTACCATGTCTAGACAGCCCTGACAGGTGCAGTGATGTGCTAACTAGCAATCAATGCCCAAGATGAAATGTCTTCACTCTATTCCACTATATTTGGCAGAAAGAAGCACCACATATCATGTTTTCTTTGCGGATATCCCCAATTTTATAATAATTGTATTCCTAGTGACCGTGTGTATATCACTATTTATTGAAGATTTTCTCTAGTTGTTTTTACTCAGCCTCGGTATATGACAGGATTCACCAATGCACATGCCAGCTGAGCAATTTCTTAAACTAAGGGCATTCGGTGCTCCACCAATTGTGATAGCACTTGCTGCTCAAGGAACTTTCCGCGGATTCAAGGATACAAAAACACCTTTATTTGCGGTTGGCAAGTATTACAATTCAATAGTTTGTATTTACGTACATAGTAGTCAATATAATCCATGCATATCTTCTCTGTGTCATCTACTCATCTTCTGCAATTCATTGCTTTGGTGTAAATTAAGCTTGTGTTTGACACCCATTTTTGGGAAAGAATAGATTTTGGAATAGTGATTGATGGAAGAATGCGTAGTTAAAAAGTATGGAGAATTTTTGGGTTTATGTGTAATATTATTTTATTGATAGAATGTGTGGTTGAAATGAAGAAAGAGAAAAAAATAAGAAATAGAATGGATGTCAAACAAGGGCTAAATATTTCATGTAGTCGGTAAGATTATTGCAGTAAGCTGCCAGCAGTTAGCTCAATTGGGTTGCAAAAAGCAAACTGAATATGATGGTTGTACATTATATATTATAATTTTGAGCCAAAAAGTTTTCTTGCGAAGCTCACGTGGGATATGATACTATCAACTTGGTTTCGCTCTAATGGATAATAAGTAGGTAATTTTGCAGCAATTAACGTGCTAGAAACTGCATCAAAGTCATTTTAGTCTTAAATAACTATTTAGACTTTGAAAGGCATGGCCCTAATATGGCATTTTATATCTTCATGCAGTAATCAGACATTGCAGTATTTTGAGTTAGTCTGGCTAGGTACCAATGGAATAGGAATTTGAAAATATGTAGCCACTTCTTGACAGAAGGCTTGCAACTTGTTGCCACATTTCCTTGCTAACTATTTATGATTAACTGTAATTCGGTTATGCAATTTGATGCTAAATAGCTCTGGACTTGTTTATACATATGTCCTTTTGTCCCAATTCCCATTTTTTAGTTTTACTTGTAACTAACAACATCTTGTCCGGGTGTCAGGAGCTGGCAACTTACTGAATGCAATACTGGATCCAATATTAATATTTTTTTTGAATCTCGGTGTTGGTGGTGCTGCATTTTCTACAGTGATTTCTGAGTATGACAGTGATGTGCTGACTCCACAGTTGGATCACACACAATATAACACGCAAACTATTGCTGCTGGTTTTAGCTCGTCTCATATGTTTCTGTTCCTCCTTTTTGTCAGATATTTGATTGCCTTGATTCTACTGTGGAAGTTAAGTGACAAAGTACTATTTATTTCTCCAAGTATCAATGGAGGAAGGATTATTCAGTATCTACAATCTGGTATGTTCTTAGGGATTGAAAAAAATAGTTTAACTGTTTTGATCCATTGAATTTATTGCCACTGAGACTATTGAAGGTCTGAGATGTTAGAGCACTTGGGAAAAATATTGATGAATGATGTAAAATTGAAGGTGGGCAGTGGAGAAATGAATTTTGACATTTAGAAATTCAGTTATAGCTCATAATTAAACAGAAAAGTGAATGTTTGCAAGAATTAATACAAGCATTTGCCTGGGAGTGAATTGCTCTAGTGTTTGCTACAGCTTCTTGGCTTGCAATTTCATCAGGCCCAGGTTTCGTAGGAATGGGGACAGTGATTTCTAGAAAGAAAATTCCTTTGCCATTGGAACTACAAATATAAATGCTTTTTGGTCTTTTTGTGCTATAAACATCTAGGAAGAAAGAAAGAGAATGTAAAAGCACTTAATGGGTTCTAGTTGAGCTTTGCTTCCAAGTTACTTTACATTACCTCGGATTCAGTAATGTTGAAATTGAATTCAAATCAGGTGCCGCAATTTATTTTTGGCTATGCTTAGATATGTAAATTAAAGAGAGAACAAATTTGCCTTAGCCATTCTGTGAGTGCATCTTTAAAACGGAGCTATCAAAAGAAATCCATGTTTCTATAATTGCTGTAGAAGTTTTTGAGTTGCATCTTGTCTTAAATCATGATAGTGTTTGTTGGAGAGCACTCTCTAGAGCCTATATATTTTTTTAGCCTGTTTGACTTCCGTGATGTCAACATAACTTGTGTTTACTTTTATCATGCAATGCTACTACTTACCCAAGACACAAACTTTTACTATTTACTAACTTAAATTTTCCTTATCATTTCCTAGGTGCTCTTCTAACTGGGAGGACTTTGGCGGCCCTTGCAACCACAACACTAGCTACATCTATGGCAGCAAGAGAAGGCCCCGTACCTATGGCTGGCCATCAGATTTGTTTTCAAGTTTGGTTGGCTTTATCTTTGCTTAACGATGCTTTAGCACTTGCCGGCCAGGTAAAATGTTTATTATAGTCTGTAACTTTTTTATTCTACACTTTGGAGTTCATTGGAGGAATTATATTTTTGAAGTGATTCCATCTGTCATTGATTTCTTCTTCATTTACTTCCAATTAAAGAAAATAATATGATAAGAACCATGGTGCATAAGCCTTTTTCTCAGTGAATCTGAATTGTAGGATTTCCCATAATTTAATATTTCAATAGCACTTAAATTTTCCATATTATATGAAACTATATATGGTTTGAAGAATTTTACATACATGGAGCCTTAGTTCCACAGTGTCCATTACGTGTGCCACTTTGTTATATATCTGTTGTGTTTTGTCATCTGAAGTACTTAACAATCTGGTAATGGGTTCACTACTGGGATTCTCCATCTGCCAAATAGGTTTAGTCTTAATGGTTTCAATTAATTCATTCGTCTTTGTTGAAATTCTTTTGTCAGACTCTCCTTGCTAGTGATTATTCCCAAGGGAATTATGGTCAAGCAAGCAAAGTGGCTTACAAAGTTCTGCAGGTTTATTTTTCTTCTAATTTTAGTCTATATTCTGATCATTGTATGCATCTTTGACATCTATGAGATAAACAAGGAACTACCTTATTGAATGTTCTCTTCCTCTGTGAATTAATCAGATTGGTATGGTAATGGGAGTAGCATTAGCAGTAATTTTGTTCTCCAGCTTTGATGCACTGTCCAGCTTATTCAGCACAGACTCAGGAGTTCTGAAAATTGCCAGATCTGGAACCTGGGTAAGAAAATGTTATTCTCGAAAATTTTCTTCTTGAAGACCATTGTGGCATATAGATGGAGAGCAAGAGAGATATATTATGAAATGCTTGAAATCTGTCATTTTTGTTTCGAGCTTGGGTTTTTAATGCAAACTCCTCAGAAAGGTTGACTTTTAGGTATTTGGAACTAAGGCTTTTGGAGAAAAATGATATCTTCAGGTCTCAAGGTCCACCATAATTGTGGTCTTGGCTGAATGGAAACGACTGAGCAGATTGGGCAAGGTTCTCTATCCTTGCAATAGGATTGGCTTAGATTTGTTAATCATGTGTGCATGTTCCTTACACAAGTTCAATCAATGTCAGATAGCATATTATTGATTGTTGGGATATGCATTCTTTTTCATTGAATACAATTTTATGCTCGCTAAAGCTTTGGCTAGACTATCCTAGGTCACAAAATTCCTTATTATGTTTTCTTAAATTGTGAAATATATCAAAGGTTAGAAAGTTGGTTTCATACTATTTGTGACTATACTTTGTTGTTTTAACACTTAATTTTGTGTTGTAGTTTGTTGCTGGGTCTCAGCCTATGAATGCTATTGCTTTTGTTCTTGACGGGCTCTATTATGGGGTTTCAGACTTTGGATTTGCTGCATACTCCATGGTAATTTTGTTTGCCTAGTTTTAAATAGTTGAGCAATTATAATTATCAATTTCTTAATTGGTATCTAATTTTGATGAACAGCTGCTTATTGGACTGATCTCTTCAGTTTTCTTGCTGGTAATTTCTCCCTTATTTGGACTTGCTGGAGTATGGAGTGGGCTGTTTCTCTTTATGACTCTGCGAGTAGTAGCTGGAGCTTTCTGGTAAACTGATTCTATCTCCTCCCTTCACGCCACACCCCACTAACAAAAGAAAAAGGTGAAGGAACAAAAATGGCATCTGGTCTAGGAACATATCACATATATCTCTTAGATACTCGCAAGGGACTCCGAATAAAATATGGAGAAAGAATGATTCTATATGTGAACTTCTTTCTCTGTGCTACATGAGCCTTGATATCATCCTGACTGTGCAGTCCAATCACGTGTTTTTGTTTCTCTTAGACGCATGAATTGCACCCCCTCTATGCACATAGTGAAATTTATTCTTCTTAATCGAAAAAACGAAATGGAAATTCTCTTTTATGGAAATATTTGAATCTTTAGACATTGTTATAACATTGTGGCCAACATCATGTGGATTTTCGAAAAGCCACCTTAGTACTGCAATGCTGAATTTCTTCTAACGCGCACTTGTTCCACTAAATGCTCTTGATTTAGGCTAAGCACAAGAAGTGGACCATGGAACTTGCTTCAGTCTGATGTTGAGAAGGACGACACCTGAGCCTCAAATAAGTAATTTCTCCAAGGTCCTTCCGTTATTTGCATAATGGTGACTGCCGTTAGGCTCACGTGGAGAGCAATTACCTGTCTGTGAGCACATACACCAGGTAGTCGATTTGCAACTATATACCCTTGCCAGATGCAGCTTCCTATTGTAGATTAGTTGTCTGAGATTTTTAGGCTGCACTTGCTGAATGGCGATTTTCCTTATATTGAGCTGCTGACGACATACTTCCTAGTTTGACGATAAATTTGTATATTTGACGAACACTTCTAAGAATATTTACGAGACAAGAGGACTTGATTGGTCCCTGAAGGCAAGATACCTATGCCCTGACCTTTGTCATCAGCAGAACTTTTGATAATATACCAACTTGTACAGAATTGGCAAACAAAGTTGAAGCCCCACTCCCGTTGTATATTTTTCACTATTTCCGTTTCTTAATGAGTTTCAACTTGGATTATTGTTTACTGTGAATCTTGTTTCATCTAATCAACTTGTCATAGTTCGTTCGAGTTGCAAACATTCGTATGAATTTTCACTCCCAGAAAATGTTTTTAATTGTATTACTGCAGAGGGATTCAGTGTTCAATATAGCAAGATTTCTTATTCGGTACTCACTCCCAACTGAATCTTCTCGCATCTGATAATTTTAATTATAAAAAAAAAAAAAACTTAAAACACAATCAAATATACTGTAGGAAATAGGATTTAATGTCACTATCACAAATATTGAATATAGAATCATTACATGAAGTAAAAGCTTTGTATGTACAGTTAAAACTAATGGCAAGAGACCGGATCTTATTTAAGACACACATTATAAAAATTATATAATTACTAAAAAATAAACGTATGAATGAATAATGCTTAAAAATCTTAACTGTATGTATCCTTAGCATAAAAGATTTTCGGGTGTTAAATCTGATGCCCTGCTTCCTTTCATCTCTGCAATTCTTATAGAGAGAGGTCAAATTTCATTCAGTTTTACCGGCAACTACACCAGCACCATCATCACCAGAGCCTGCTGCTGTACAGTCCGACAGCTCTGGCCTTATCTCCTCCAGTTTCTGGAGAACTTCCCGAGCTTCCGGCCGAGCTGTTGGAGAAGGGTCGACACAATGCAGAGCTAATTTTAATGTATTTAGCAATTCATCACCAGTGTTGCATCCATCCCCGATAAGCTCCACATCAAAAACTTCATTAGTCCACTCCTCTTTCACAGTAGATGCCACCCACTGGGGCAGGTTGAGTCCATTGGTTGCCTCGCTAGGTGACTTTCCTGTTAAGAGCTCCAATATTATTACTCCAAGGCTGTAGACATCAGTCTTGGTGCTAGCATTCTTGAGTTTCGAAAGCTCTGGCGCAAAATATCCCATCATCCCTGCAGTTGCAATCATATTGGTGTTTGCAGCACTTGTTATCAGTCGATATAGGCCAACATATGCGATTTTAGGATTGTTGTGCTCATCTAGTAGTACGTTGCTTGATGTGAGACTCCCGTGTTTTATATTTTCTTCGGTGTGAAGGTAGCTGAGTCCTCTGGTTATACCAATAGCTATGGTCAATCTTGTTGGCCAGGGAATGCTGGTTTCAGGTCCTCGTGCTGCACAGCAAATCAAGTCACAAGTGGTTTAATATAATCAATCAGATCATGTTCGGTATGCAAGACATGACAGTTCAGTGAATAAAATTTTAAATCTTTTTTTCTTGCTTACCATGGAGGAAGGATGAGAGACTTCCATTCGACTTATAATCGTAGACGAGAAGCTTCTCTCCTTTAGGTCCCATGTAATAAGCTCTAAGGGACAAGATATCAGGGTGTCGAATCTTTCCAAGTTCAACGACCTCGATTTCAAACTCCTTCTGAGCCTTTGAGATCTTCTCCCTTAGCCTCTTCACAGCAACATGATTACCATCCTCCAATGTTGCCTGGTATGCGGTTCCATAACTGCTTTTTCCCATTATTTCTGCAGTTGCACATAATAAATCATCAACTGTAAATACAAATGGACCATCAAAGTGGACAAGTTTTCCTCCAGCTTCACCATCAGATTCAACTTCCCTTTCAGATGCCAGAACTGGCTTTGCACCTCGACCAGTGGAAGCTAACCCAATTTTACCATCTTTAGATTTTGAAGCTGCTCTTTTTCTGATCAAGCAACATAGCAATACACAGCATAAAATTAGTAGAACAACTAGAAGGGCTCCAGCTGCTATGAGAACTATGTCCTTCGTACTCAGTTTTCGATGGGGATTCTTTGGTGTCCCGTTTGATGTTGAAGGGAGATTTTCCGGTGGGGGAGAAGCGCATAGAGTTGAGCTGCTGTATCCACATAGTTGAAGATTACCCACAAAAGAGCTCGCACTGAACTTCCTCGCCAAAACAGATGGAACAATGCCGGAGAGATTATTATATGAAACATCAAAAGAAGCAAGATTTGATAAATTGACAAGGGAAGTCGGAATTTCCCCGGTGAGATTGTTTTCAGATAAATTGAGTAAGGTGATACCGGAGATGTCCCCAATAGTATCTGGAATACGGCCTTTGAACTGGTTGTTACTCAAGTATAGGACAGAGAGATTTCTTAATTTTCCAATGGAATCTGGAATTTGGTTATCGAGTTGGTTATTCTCGAGATTTAAGGTTACCAGGGAAGGGAGGCTACCGAATTCATTCGGCATGACCCCATCAATTTGGTTATGACTCAGATTAATCTCTTCAAGAAACCCGAGTTTGCTAAGAGAAGCCGGAATTTTTCCAGAGAGAAGGTTATGATCCAGAGTCAAAGACTTGAGTTGATAAGAATGATTTACTGATTTGGTACCCCAAGTATCAGGAATTGAGCCAGAAAGATTATTGTGTTGAAGAGCAAGAAAAATAAGAGAGGGAGACTGGGAAAGGCTTAAAGGGATAGGTCCTGAAATAGAATTGAAGCTCAGATTGAGTCTATATAACCTGGTGGAATTTGCAAGACTGGGAGGAATCATTCCATTAAGTTGATTATTACTAATATCAAGAGTCTGAAGAAGTGGACAGTTACCAATTGATGGAGGGATTGAGCCCGAAAGCTGGTTATTGAAAAGATAAACACCCCGGAGGTTCGGAAGGAACCCAAGAAAGGTAGGAACAGGGCCGGATAGAACATTGTCGTGGAGGCTAATTTTGCGAAGAGCCTGAAGCTGGCTGATTTTCTCCGAGATTCGGCCACTCAATCCCTTCCATGGGAGCTGGATAGCAATAACCTGCCCATTGACACACTTAATTCCAATCCACCCACCTGAACAAGCCCCAATACCACTGTCATTCCAGCTCCTCAAGACCCCTCTCAAATCGACAAATTCCTGTTTTAGGGCCCTGAGAGCTTGATAATCGGCTTTAGTTACAACGACCCCATCCCATCTCTTGCCTGAAACTAGTCCAAAACTAAAAAGCATGAGCAGAAAAACACAGAAAAATTTGTGGGTTCTTAGCCGTGAATCCTGCTTCCATTTTCCTTTCTTCTTATATGTATCCCAGCTCCAAGCAGCTTCCCCTTCAAGCTGAAATTGCATAATCTCTGGATTCAACAACTGAATTTGATCATCCATGAACTCTCAATGAATCCCAAATTGTTTAACAAGAACAAGATTAAGCAAGAATAAAAAATAAATCTCTATCCATCTGCCTAATTCTCGAACAACTCTTATTTCCTCTCAGGCTTTACTGAAACAGAGATAAATAAGAAAAGAGAGAGAGTGTTTGTGTCTGAAACAGAGCATGTGAAAATCTTTAGTAAGAGAGACGGAATCTAGGGTTTACAAAGACTGAATATGAAGACAAAGTGTTCAGTAGAAGGAGACGTTTGTCTACAAAGGGTCTGGTTTTCCAATTTATTTCCAACGGCTAGTTATCTTTAGGTTTCTTTTTAATACAGTATTTTTTGGTTGAAAAATAGTCCGTGTTTAACGCGGGAATGCTATAACGGCTCATTTTTGGTAGGGTTCCGCCTGCTCGTGGCACCTGTCAGCTTGATAATACCGTTGTTCAGCCTTGACTTTTCAAACTATTCTTTTTTGCACTTTCAATTTTTTTTTTCTTTTTAGCTTTTTGGTGATATCACTTCTTCACCATTTACTTACTAAAATAATTTTTTAACTAACCCAATCAAAATAGATAAATAAGTTACTTTAACAATTTAAAATATAAGAATTTAAGAAATAGTTTAGTATTAGCGTGTCGGGCAGTATTCATTGGATTCCATCGTAGAAAATTGAAAAAGAAGTAATTTACGTTTAAAGACAGAAGCGTGATATATCGTTTATATGTTTCTTTTCCTACTAATCAATCATGTTCACTTGCAGCTTGTAACGTTACTTCATAATGAAGTGTCTTTTTTTTTTTTTAGAGAAAAACAGCACATAATTATACGAACCAAAAAGAAGAGCCACCAACATCAAACCAACCAAAATGGCAAACTACTTGTATATTGCATCCATGAAAGATGCAGTGGAAAGGACACACAATTTAAAGCCCTTCATTCTTTTTTAACATAATAAGAGAACTGCGAAGAACAAATAATTCCAGATTTCTTCTACAATTGCTAGTTAAAAAATGTCAATTATAATGAAATAACATAATGATTATGCAACCTTCTTCCTAAAGATGTATCCTATTCAACAACTTATTTTGGATCAGGATATTGATTATCAAGTAAAAAACTCATCTATTACCAATAACAATATAATGAGTTCAAAAAGAGTATAAAACCAATAAAATTCTTCCTATGGAAGTTTTCTATAGTGTCCAATACGTATCGAAGAGTGTCCAAGAGTATTCAAGATTGAATACGTATCGAAAGTGGGTATGCAATAAGTTTACAAGTATTTGTGCTTCTTAGATCTTTGCCATCCTATGGTGAAACACAAATTGAAGTTGCCCACTAGATGGGCAGTTCTTCCTCCTTGTCCAATTGTCTGCAATACATAGTCCATGATATTACACAAGCTGGTGGCTCAATGTAGTGAATGGCCTAACATTTACTCTAGTTGTAGCGTCCTCTGCAACGTAGTGAATGATCTAATATTTATAGGCGAAAGACATAGAAGGGTAAGGGTGGTAGCTTCTCCTCAGTTACAACTTACGGGTAACCTCAACTGCCTATTTGATAGCCGGATTCGGGATCAATGAATTGACAAAATTCTCCGTTCACCGATTGGTCAACTGTCTTGTTGCAAAAATGCACCAGTATGCTCTTAAAAATTGCTCTATGGAAACTAATTGCAAAACTTTTTTCCTTATATCACAGTTTGTATGCTTGATACATTGACTCATCAACAAGACAGCTAAAGAGACAATCTTACAGGGATCAGGGACTGCAGATTTAAACTTCTACTGCCAAGATTTTATTCAACTTAATCATCAGCCATGTCATAGCAAGTTGCTCACGAAACTTTTAAGTCTAAACAACTTAATGCTCTTATGTGGGCATTAGAGCGAAGAACCTAGTTGGCTCCTTGATTAAGCTCTAAAGAGACAATCTTACAGGGATCAGGGACCGCAGATTTAAACTCCAACTGCCAAGATTCTATTCAACTTAGCGAGTAACTCACGAAACTTTTAAGTTTAAATGCCTTAATGCTCTTATGTGGGCATTAAAGCGAAGAACTTAGTTGGCTCCTTGATTAAGCTCTATATCACATTGGGTTTCTGGCTCAACTCTTCGCCAACTCGAAGCGCCTTGGTACGAGAATCTCCTGAAACATGGGATGATTTCAGGCCTCTAATGCAAGATTACAAGATTTACTGAAGAATAAACAACAAGATCTAGTTTCTTTCAAGTAACAAATCCAATCCGACCCAAACGATCTCAATCAATTTAAAGATCACATGGATTCCATTAGTAAAACTTCAGAAATATCCTGGTTTTGAATAGGAAGCAAAATCTTTTGGATTCCATTTCCTGCAAAAAGGGGAAATGAAAGCAGTGATCTCATCCCGTGGATTGTATATTCCATTTACATATATAGCCTAGCATGAAATGTAAAGTGATAGATGAGTATACATTTCCATCAAGCATTCTAAATTCCTCATAGAACCATATGCATCAAGAAACAAATGATAAAGCAAAGTTCGTCACGATTTTATTAGTTTCCTCTTTTGTAGTAGAGCAAATAAGCAGCAGATCTCACTAATTCAATCAACAATAGGTCCAGATCCTTAACACTTTCATACAAATAAAAGAATTAAACAAAATCACTGCGTTCCAGAAAAATAAGACAGGACAAAATCAGAAATTGATGTCAAAATTAATTCAGTTGAACATACACACTGTATTCAGAGATTTCGTGCAGGAAAAAAAATGGTTCAATGCATTTTCCTCTTACAAAATCACAATATGAAAGAAAAACACGAATTTTACAGATCCAGAAACAAAAATAGCAGATATTGGCAAATCCTAACTATAAAAGGAAAACATATATCCAGCCTAATCGGAAACGTATAAAAGAACTAGCATAAACCTTCACTCTGATCCTTTCCTTTTCAATTATTATTGTCTTCATTTTGTAAAGAAAATATATGAATTATTGTCATTACCACCGTCATCTTGATTGATCATTGATCCCGCCCTCAGATCCTGGCAGGCACAGGTGGTGCGGCAGGGGCAGATCCCGTGAAGAAAGACAGGAAGCCAGGAACACTACCCTGCGGCTCCTGCTCATCAAGGAAAAGATCCTCTGGAGCCCTAAAGGCACCGTGCAGACAAACAATAGCAACACCAACCATGAGAGCGGAAACAAGAACGGTACCTACACTTGTAAGAAAGATCACAACAACGGTAGAGGCGATCAAGCCGACGAGAGTCTCACGATCGGAAAATTGGCGGCCTAAGACTGTTAGTGGCGGATCGGAGGCAGAACGGAAGATGTAGAGGAAAAGCCAGGCAGCGAGAAGGCCGGCGAGGAGGAGGAGGGAAAGAGGATTCGTTAACAACGAGATCGCGAGCACAACAGTTATGATCGAGAGGTAATTAATCCGGAAATACGTGTAATTTTTGCGAATCCGAAGGGTGGCCTCTGAGATCGACTCAGGCTTCGAGAAGGCGGACCGGTCTACGAGCTCAGGCCAGGGGCGGCTATTAGAGAGGCCGGAGCGGACGGTGCCGGAGATTTGAGAAAACAGTGAATGGACGGCGGAAGTCGCGACGGCAGATTGTTCAGCAGTGGTGGAGGTTGCGTCGCTAGTGGTTTGGGGATTGGAAATTGGGAGAATTGCTGGAGATGAATTAGCCATGTTTTAGGTGGTTAGTTTCGGAGATTGTTACGTTATAAATAGGGAGCGTTTTAGCTTAATCGATACGATTTGGGGCAGCGAAATAGCGACGAAATTGCATAGGTGGTCTTTACCTTAGTTTACCTTAAAAATGATAAGCCCCGTCATTTTCAATATACGTAAATTAAAAAAAAAAATTATTTTGTAATCAAGCATTCTTCAACAAAATACTAATACAAAATGTATTTTGAACAAAAAAAAAAGCTCAAACAGGCCCTAAAAGTATTATTTATTTTTATAGTTACGATAAAATTATAATTATTTGTTGATACCGACCTCGGAGGTCGTTAAACTCGGACTGTAAAATTCCAATAATGGTAAAACAACGCGAGCTCGGTGGTACGAGGTCAGCTCGATTTTGAATAACTTACTCAACAAGCTATTGTAATCTTTTAAGGCACAATAGTAACTAATGACTATAGATCGCTGACAAGATCTTTGAGTTACCAATCAGAGAGACACACGTGTAAAGGTCCTATGTCAGCGCCCACCTAGTCCTCCAATCAGATGTCTTAGCTTGCCTAGCTAAGACTTTGCATTTATTGCTGAGGCCCACCTGTCCCATCAC